CCTTAGTGGCCGGACGTCAATGCTGCAGCTTTGGAAGCTGTCTTTCCAAAAGCCGTGAGGGAAAATAAATGCAGAGATTAGGATTGTGGCGATACATGGGAGAGGAAATATGTTAAAAAGAAGCTTTTAATGAAGGAATGGATGAAAGGTTTCCAGCTACAGGAGATTAACATTCTTATCATATATACTCCTATTGCAAAGTGGAGGAAAGGGGTGGGAGGAAAGGGGTCTCCTGCAAAGAAACTCTCTGACACTGAAAATGAATTCGGTGTATTTAGTACAGTTTGTAATGTTTCCTTTTGAACACTTTCTTCTGGACTCTAAACGTTTAAAAAATTGGGTAAGTCATACCAAACACCTGGGTCTGCTGAATTATCAATTTTTTTAATGCCACGTGCAGCAGGTAGGGTGCTTTTTGCAAAGCAAAGAGCAGCAGCAGCACACACACTTCCCAGTGCTGTGCCAGGAAACCCATGGGCGACCAGCTGGGGGCCAGTAACGCCCGGGGGCCGGTGGTCGCTGCCCTTCAGCGTGGCCGAGGGAGGGTAATTGCGTGCTGCTCCACTCCCAGCGACACACAGCCCCACCGGGGACAGACAGCCGGAGCAGAGGCTGCGGGCACAGCAAGAGCTTCCCCTGAGCCCCGGCCTGAGCAAGGAGCCAGCGCCCCCCGTATCCCAAACCAGCCGAGGAACCAGCCGTACAACCAAAAGCTGGATTTTACAGAAATACGGGGATAGGGTGTGCTGCTCCGCTCCCAGTGACACACAGCCCCACCGGGGACAGACAGCCAGAGCAGAGGCTGCGGGCACAGCAAGAGCTTCCCCTGAGCCCCGGCCTGAGCAAGGAGCCAGCGCCCCCCGTATCCCAAACCAGCCGAGGAACCAGCCGTACAACCAAAAGCTGGATTTTACAGAAATACGGGGATAAACGGGGTTTTGCTTAACGTGATGTTAGACAAGCGAAAATAAAAAGGGAAAGGCATCTAGAGGTGTTTGGAAAGAGGGCAGGAAGGGAGGAAAGCTTCCAGCCGCGCACTGAGGGCCATGGTAGCCTTCAGGGTGTCAGCTGGAGGCCGGAGGGTAGAGGTGAAGAACCTTAATTCACCACCAGGAACCAGAGCTCATTTCCCACAGCAAGGGGACGTCTCTTTCTGTCAGGGCAGAGGGAGGTATCTGAGGCCAGAAGGCCACATGGTGGGAAGACTCTGCACTGGAGGCACCAAGAAAGCATTATTTGTTTATACAGAATATTAAAAATAATAATGCCATTAGACCAGAGCGGGGCAGGCAAGTAAGATGTAGAGGGGCTAACAGAATAAGGAGATACACCTCATTCCTTTCCTTGAGGGGCTGCTTCGGACCCCAGTGGAGCCTCAGCATCTCTGTCTCAGGGACTCACCAAATGACTGATACAACCAGCTACTCAGAGAATTCTTCCCGTTGCAGCTTCCTTTTCAGCGTGAAGCAACCTGAACACGAGACACAGCACGACACTGTCACAGGAGGGCTGTCCCATCGACAGCCACAGGCGGTTTCGGGGCAGAAGGGACAGGGCAAGGCTTCACCCCTCACTACACCTTGGTCCATTCTTACTGATACTGCAAGCCCTAAAATAGTAATTTACATACTGTGTAGTCACCTAAATACTTGGTCTCATTCTTCAGAAACCCTGAAAACAGAAGTGTGCATGTCTCAAAAGAATTTAAATGAATTAGCAAGGAATATCTTTGAGACGATAATTTGCCAACACACATCTTGTTTAAATGCACATCTTCCGTTGGATTTAAAACTTACGTTTACGTTTCAGCAAAGGAGACCTTTACAGAACTGGAGTTCTATACGCTGCGTAAGCTCAGTCTACAAATTATGGTTACTTTACATTAGGAAGACATATGGCTTTTGTTCCCTAAAACTATTTTGAAGCCGGTTTGGCTTTTTACGACACACACACCTACGTACACCACCAATTTATTTTAAGCTTGTGTCTGTGCATCCCCATCACCGTACACGCCACAAACAGAGCAGCTGAACTGAACTTTCGCATTCCAGAGCTACCTGGATATCATTCCCTGGAATCTGGGATGAAAAGCAGGGTTTGAGGGGAGCCCCTGGAGCCTGCCAGGGCACAGCGCCCGCTCTGCCCGTGGCCACAGCAGAGCCAAACGGGTCATCATTATGTTATCCTTCTGCTTTTCACCAGAAGAAAAGCGCAAAGGTGAAGGCTTCCTGCAAAGTCACACACAGGCAGGAAGGTGGCAGATACGCTGCAGAAGGACGTGGAGGTATAAGCACCTGTGCCCAGAGGCTGGGCTGATGGCCCTTCCACACGTCCCAAAAGCAGAACCACCACCGCTGGTGGCAAAGAGCAAAATGGGGCTTCAAGGAGGTTCTGATGGAGCTTTGAGAATGACAGTCACAGTAGGAGAAGAACAGTGACTGTCTGTGACTTCCCATTCGGGCATCACAAAAAACGCCTACATCGCCCACATTAAATGAAACCATCTTAGTTCTGAAGAGTATGACAAGTTTATACAGCGCAGGAAAATTCTGCTCCTGTTACCTCTGGATGTGGGTGTCTTATTGTCAACATCTATGAATATATCTGTGTGGAAAACAAACATTGCTGCACATGTTACAGAAACATACTGTAAGTGAGCAAAACTGTATGCTGCTATTAGCCTCCCAAATCCATTTTTAAAAGCCTCTGGGTCAGCACTGGCACCTCCACTAGAACAGCACAAAGAGTGAAGGATGAATATTCGTTTTCATGTTACACCTAGTAAGCATAATCACTCTGATAAATTAATTGCAGAATGTTCCGCAAAATGCGTATATGTAATTTTGAAATATGCTCAAGTCTCAAGCACTGTTTAAACATTTTTCTATTGTCTGTTTTTTTTGGGGTAATCTTTAGAGCTAATATCAGCAATTTTCGTACATAAATCCAAGGGGATACACAGAGTAACCTGAACATGAGAAACCTAACTCCAGGTCCTTTGCCCACCCAGCAGTTGTGAGGGAAACAGACGGTACCCAGACAGCGTATTAACTGTGCGAGGCACAACCTGCATCGCCCTTACGGCTGTCACCACCCGGCAGCAGGCACGAGCTCCCCAGCTGGCACAGCAATTTCAGAAAAAGACAAGCTAATTAGCTCTAGTTTCAAAGAAAAGGACGGGATATGAAAATATAAAAAAAGAAAGAAATTCAGCAACTTCAAGTTAATTCTTAGAAACTGCATTTTAAGAGATTTACAGGGAGAAAAAATTAAATAAATTCTAAATATGATGTGTCTATGTGGTGTTCGGGGTTGGCAGCTGAATGCCCTGCCACTCTCCTGGCACCGCACCGGGAACAGGGAAAGCATTTATTAAATCTCAGAGGCCTGGGCAAGCCACAGGTCCGAGACCGAGTGTGCACCGTGCCCTGGTGAGCGAGGGACGATGGAGAGCTTGGCAAAATACAGAGAGAAAAACTCTGCACTAAAGCTATTGAACGTTTACGGGCAAGAAACAGGTGTTTTACCAGAAAAGAAGGCAAAGACAATTTCTGGGCTTTCCCCTCTGGCAGCAGCAGCATGTGAACAGCAGCCCTGTGTGCGCAGCCTCCCCGAGGAAAGACTGCACAGGCATGGGCTGCAGAGCGTCGCGTTCCCGGCACCCAGAACCGCCTCATTCACATCTGCACCATGGAAAATGATGGCATACTTTTATTTTTAAATGAAGAAAAGTATCATTTTTTTTTTTTAAATGAAGATTTTTAAAGTCTGTCAAATATCCCCACGCTGCAGCTGCTGGGGCCTGGCCACCGCAGCAGCCTCCTCCCACATTGGCAGGGGCAGGGACACCGTTTCTGGAAATCATCTCCTTGTCGGAGAACCAGTGGGCAAGAAACGAGTGAGCTGCATGTCTGAGAGAGCTTTGAGTTGCTGGAGACAAGGTATGTATTCCACAGTATGGAAAAGGACAGGTATTCATGTATTCCATGACAAGCTTTCCACAGTATGATTATTACAAACACACACCTAAAATCTGTCGCTCTCACCATCACATTTAGTAACCTTCTGCATGGTAACGTGGAAGAATATTTTGCAAAATACCAAATTGTTAGTTATTAGTCTTAGCAGTTGGGAATCTCTCTGGATTACTCAGCACAGAATCCACACCAGAAGTCACAGTAAATCTTAGACTGACAGCCTGAACCGCCGGGCTCCAGAAGGAGTGTTTCTAGAAGGAGAACAAGCCCAGGTGGTCTCCCCTCCCGTGACAGGTCCCTCTCCCCGGCTGCACCTTCTCTGCCCCGGCGTTCAGCAGAGCCCTACGGGGAAGGAGAACAAGCCCGGGTGGTCTCCCCTCCCGTGACAGCTCGTCCCTCTCCCCGGCTGCACCTTCTCTGCCCCGGCGTTCAGCAGAGCCCTACGGAGCTGGCGCCTGCGCGGCTGAGAGGTGAGCGGGCAGACGGGGCAGGGGGCACAAATCTCAGCACAGGGAAAGAGGAATGACACTGCTCCCCGCCTTACGAGCACTCATCACCTTCCCACCCCACAGCACTTTTTACTGTTATGCAGCTCCTACCCTGATTTTCTTTATGCCTTTAGTCCTCAAACTGTTTTTTTTCTGCTAACTTTATTTACAATTAGAAACCGCTGTATTCCCTTTTTACTTCATCCTCCTTCACCCTGCCACTTCTTATATGCTTTTAGGAAAACAAAACATACGGGAAAGTTGTAAAGTTCACAGCATGAATCACTCTGACATCACTTCTGAATTTCTACAAGCGAAAACGCCATCTTTCCATATATGATGCTACTGAAGTAATGGTATTGAAATGGTATAAATAAGTGGCTATTTCCTTCACCATAGTTTCGCACCCATCATTACACACTCCAATTTGCTTTCTGTTTATCTTCCTTTTCAAACATTGGCATCAGGACCGCTGCAGACAAATCCTCCCACACACAGATGAATACTCAAGCAAGCAATTGAAAGAAGTACTAACCTTCGCTGACAGGAGTCGCACAGCCTTCGAGGTTCAACATTATGTCTTCATCTGTGTCATCTGCTCCAGCTCCCAGAAGCATCCAGCTCTCCACGTTCTCACTGTCAGAGATGTAGCTGTCCTCCTCCGAGCTATCATCTATGACGAACACGTCCTGGAGGGTGTGAGCTCCAGCAGAACTACCTGGGTCAGGCTTCCCACCCGTGCTTCTCCTTTCCCTGGAAAGGTCCATGCCCGGCCCAGGAGACAGGGTGTTGCAGGCGGCAGCTTCGGCATGGTTCGGTGTGGAAGATCCAGGGGGGACATGTGTTCTACCTTGAGGGGAAGAGCTCGTTGACTTCTTTGCTTTGCTTTTGTAAACACTGTCTTCATCTGGTGTATCAGACAAGACGATGACCTCAGAATCATGTGAGAGCTGAGCACCACCACCGACTAATTCAGTGATTTTCTTGTCTTCAGGCTGTTCCTCGGTTAGAACTGAGCTGTGACCCGTGGCTCCTGCAACAGCAGCTTCTTCATCCATTTCCAGTGTGCTGATTTCTCCAAGATTTTGGGAGTAGTGGATCTGGCTATAGAGATGAAATTCCACCTCACTATCAACACTCTGCTCACTGGATGACTCCTCATGATAAAGTTCATCTTCATACATGTCGGTATCCTCGGAGTCTTCATATCCAACAAACATTCTGGAAAGCAGATAGGCTGTATCTACAAAAAAACAAAAGGTGATATTAGAATGGTGAGGAACATATGCCAGAACCCATCTTCCAGATGATACCTTTGGTCTTTCTGGAATTGCTAAGGTTAGTCATTGAGCTCTGCAAACGGAAAATAAAACTGAGCAGACTTAACAGCTACAGCAACTGATGCTCAAATCTGTAACAGCAAAAGCTACTTAAGGGTGCATATAATTTAATCTCAACTACTACTTTAACCTCAGCTACTCTGGCTTCTGAAAGTTGCAATTAATGGAGCTGTGGAGCCTCCACAGCTCCTCTCCACCCTGGGTCCAAAATCAGGGTACCTGCATGGATTGGAAGGCAAACGAGAGTCTGAATCTGAGTTGTGATCGTTCCACCAATTCGTATTAACTCTGGGTACTTTGCAACTTGTTTTACTAAGCAACATCTTTTATATATATATATCTGAAAGAGCAGGGAAGGCCCATTTAACAATGAAGTAACTTGAAGCCCACCTAGACCTGGGCTGCAGAGCCACCTGAATGTAACCCTGTGAGGAGAAGTGCCAGGGCTTTGGTACAGAAGCACCCAGACATGGTCTGCATGAGCTCAAGACTGAAGGCAGCTGAAGGCAGCAGAAAGAGAACAGTAAAGGTGGTACAGAAATCTGCAACCTTCATACAAACTAGCACATTGCCTTGTCCGATGAGGACTCAGAAACTGAGTCACAGTGCCACGGACACACAACATCAGTGCTCCCAGGCCTGAGGAAGGTATGTCTGAGGTGTCTGCCCAGCTCAGTGTGAGCTGTGACAGCTCTGTGCTGCTATTGGTTAAACAGTAAGTATCTACAGCCTTTAAAGGCCTTTTTGGGGCACATCTAGGACAAAAGCCCTGATTTCCCTTCTCACATACGCAGCGACACTGCTTTTCAAACAGATTATGCTGTAAGAGCTGGCTGATGGGACAAAGAGCACAAAGTTTGCAGATGATGCAAAGTTTGCAGGAGTGGTTGGTACGTCGGACAGTTGTGCTGCCACTCGGAGGTGCCTCAAGGGGCTGGAGACGTGGGCAGAGAGGACCCTCATGAAGGTCAACAAAGGTCCTGCACCAGTCCTCCACCTGGGACAGAGACATGCTGGGGGCCACTGCGTGGAGAGCAGGTCTGCAAAAAAGGACCTGGGGATGGGACAAGTTGCCTATAAGGTAGTAGAGTTCTGGGACAAGGACACTGGTCTCCCAAGGAGCAGGGTGAGGGAGGTTATCCTTCCGCTCTAGTCTGCTCAGGAGAGCACACCTGCAGTGCTGTGTACAGCGCTGGGCTCCCCACCACCAGAAGACATGGACATACTGGAGTCAGAGCAGTGAAGGGACACTAAAATGATTAAGGGACTGGAGTGTCTGACACCTGAGGCCAGTCTGAGAGCTGGGACTGTCCATCCTCCACAAGAGGAGACTGAGGGGATCTTATCTACGTACAGAAATACCCGATGGGGGAGGTCAGTAAAAAGAATGGGGGAGGGGGTGTAAATAAGATAGAGCCAAGCTCTTCCAGGCAGTGTCCAGTGGCAACACAAGAGGCAGCAGACACAAAAAATAAAATACAGGAAATGCCACTTAAACATAAGGAAAAACCCTTTTTTACTCTGTTGCCCAGAAAGACTGTGGAAGATGTTCAAAACCCAGATGGACACTAGGCCCTGAGCAAACTGCTCTGGGTCACCCTGCTCTGAGTCAAGGGGCTGGATGAGACAACTCCCAGAGGCTCCTTCCAGCCTCATCCCAGCCCAACAGTGAGTGTCTCCAGAACTCACTCCCTGCTCCCCAGGGAGACAGGAAACCCACAGACATTCTGAAGTTACTTTGCCTAATTCGTGGGATAGTCTTTCATTTCCATCACGCAGGGAGGAGACAAAAGGGAATACTTCCTCTTAAAAGTCTGTCTTTATTTCTGTGTTACAGTTGCTCTTAGGGAAGCCAACAAGCTTTTTTAGACATGAAAACTGTTGGAGTTCCATTTTCAGTTGTGGAAGGAAGCGTGTGGGACTGTTTGGATTCACATACCAATACACGTGCAAAAATTTAGAATTGGAAGCCTTACACATAAGCAATTTGTGCAATGATGGTATTTTAAGAACCCAAAGGCTCTTCTTATGACAGCTTTGTGTGCACACCCTGCAAGAGTCCTTCCCTGACCGTGACAGGTTTGACCTCGTTTGTATTCCTGTATACCAGCATTCAAACTAATGAGGAAGACATTTTTCACAGCAAAAATAAACAAACCAAAACCACATAAAACTCGAGCACACAGGCAGGAAAGTGCAACGCTTACTGACAATCCATACGGAATGCCCTTTTCTGTTTAGGCTTCCAGTAGATGAGCAGACATTGTCCCTCAGGAGTTACACAAAGTAGTGACCCTTGCTGAAAACACGCAGCTGAACGAGACTGCTGGGTCATGAGAGTCAAAGAGCGCCCAAGGAGATGACTCACAGACACTTCATGATGAAGACAAGAGTAAGAAGAGGCAGCATGGCACTACGCTTACTTTGATCTATCCTCCCCAGAAGCTCAGGTCAACAGCAGCTCCTCCTGTTCCTCTCAGGTCCACACACGACTGGGATGACAAAGGGCTCTTCCTCTTGCTCAGCATGTATGGCAGCCCGCTGAGAAATGGGAAACATCAAACATCAGTGTAACAATCCAGACCAAAGATACCTGGTTCCACTGTTCACCATCCTCAAACTCAGGCAACACCTCCACCCCACCTCTTACCCACTGAGTCAAAAACAGCCATTTCAGCTGTTTGGCATCAAAGCTGACAAAAGCTCTAGGAGAAGGAAGAGAAGCTTGATAGACAAACTTTCGCTCTTTTTCAGGTTGTCAAGTTGAAGCAGTCTCTTACTGTAATCATACTGATACTCAAATAGACTGCCAGTCTCCAGCAATTTAGATTTCCTTTCGCCAGTGAAAGGTTTTGGCTATGGGCAGTTGTCCTTTCTGTTACCAGCTAGACTATGACAAAGACATCCCTCATGTCGGAGCATGAAAGCTATGTTAAAAATAATAGTCCGGCACAGACTAGCTGATTTGATGGGTAACACCAGCTGCAGAGTGCACAACACACAGACACATCATACTTTGGAACTGGTCTGCCTTACTTCAAAAAACACCCAGCAAACTTCAAATCCTAGGCCCGTCCTTCCATCGAGGGGAATCCCATTCCCACCTGAACCCCGAGCACAAGTACCCAACTGCCCTTCTGGCAGGCCCTAAGTAAGAACAGTTCAGGTAAAGGGCTAATGATCTTAACACAAAACTCAAAAATCACAGCTATCTTTAAACACTTCTGAACAAAACTGCAGAGGTCTATAGCTGGAAATAGGAGGAGACCATTTTCCCAGATGGCTGACAAAGGCAGCCTGCCAGCACGTTCAGTCCATCAAGAACTCCAGCATCCCCCGGGATGAAGTGAGGGAAGCTGGTGGCAGCACAGGGCAGTGGGAGGGAGGTGCTGAGGGCAACTGGCAGGGAGAAGAGCACAAACAAGTTAACAAGAACACCCACAGCAATTTCCACTCTGCACGCAGGCACCTCATCCTCAGCCAAAACCCCCAAGCAGCCCAGGACGCTCAGGGCAGGGCAAGCACAGAAGGGGCTCTCAGAAGTGGCAGCACCGTGCCCAGCCCCATCTTTTCCCTGCCTTCCTTCTCCTCCCAGCTCCTCCTCCCCTCTGCTCAACTCCAGTACCTCTCTGACTTTTTCAGCTCTTAAAATCTTTCAGAGCTCACGCAGTCATCTTTTCCTCTCTTCCTCCTGCCATTTGAAATATGCATTCTGCTTAACCTCAGATATTGAGTTTTCTTAAAAGAAAAAGCTCTGAAACAAAAAATGAACTGCAAAAAAGAATACTTTTTCATCCTTTGCAAATATGACTTTTCACATGAGCGTACTACTCCCACCACAAACCACCAGTGAAATCCAAATATTTCCTCATTTTTCGTGCTCTCTGCCTGATGTTTGCAGTAATGCCAAATCTAACACTGTATGACAAAGGCCGTGTTGAAAATACAGCAACAAATGTATTCTCTGCTGTCTTAGGAGGCAAAGACAGAACTGTTGTCAGTCCCTCTGTTACAGACGGGAACATCGATAAAATGGAAAGGAAACGTCTTTTGAGGAAAGTATCAAAAACTTCCTAAAGCCGCAGGTATCTACCAGAACAGCGGTTCAGACACCAGGAGACATCAACAGACTTGACAGCTGTGTGCAGAACAGACCCTTCCCAGTTTTCTCTTTGCCCACATGTGTGGCACATAAACTGCCTTTGGACTGGTCAGTTGTGGCACAGGTACAACCAACTGGAAATGGACACAGAACTTATATGTTCAAATGCAGCTAAATGAAATCTTTCATTTTCAGATGCTGTAACTGCTTTTGTACCCTTCACCAGAAGTTGCACACCTCTTTTTTGGGAAAAATAAGCAACAAAAGATACTATTATGAAGCGTAGTACCAAAATGAAAATCTTTGTTAATCTTGCTGCTCTACAGAGGCATACAAATGTCAAATCTGTATGCATTTTTTTTAAAAAAAAGAAAACTCTCCAACAATATAAGGTTATTATCAGAGTTCAATGTCAGGAGAGAGTTTTACTCCCCCTCTGTGTCATGTTTCTGTACCAAACGTAGCGCAGATTGTGTTTTGGCTGGCAGGGATGACTGAGCCACGCTCAAACCAGATAAGAAAGAACAACTTTCCTTTGTGAGGTGCAGCCGTCAGACGCCCGGCGTCACTGCCCACACTGACGGGCTCAGCCTGGAGCAGAAACGTCCTCACGGCAACACACTCAGACGTGCCATGAGACACCTACACACGCGTGAGCTGGGCTCCAGGGCAGCCACCCCTGGGGTTCCCGGGAGCAAACCCCGACCGTGCCTGGCATCTCGGCTTCAGGAAGCCAAGAAAAAGGCTGACAGCACCATAAAGGGGATCTAATGGTGACATTAGTTATTTCTGGCTGAACCTTGTCACTCATTTCTTTGGTCACTCATTTTTCTATTTGTGGCTAAACTTTGTCACTCATTTCTTCAAGGATAACTTGCACAGCTCAGTGCTGAGGTGTAAAACTCGCTCTTATGTTGATTTGCAGTGTGTCTGAGAACACGTCTCTCGTTTGTACTTCCTCGAAATACAGGGCAAAATAAGTGTTAAAGAGAGAAGAACAGCTTTGGAGAAAAGGTAAATGTTTTTTTCTAGTGACAGGCTATACCTTCAGGAGATCACGGGAATATTATCTTCCACACACCCAAAACCCTGCAAAATAACAAAACGTTGGGAGTTTACTTCGAGCCTCTGGGAAGGGATTTCCCCACAGCCCCCCCCGCCTCCCATTCACGGTGTATGCTGTTCCTCGGGTCAGGACTGAGCTCGGCCGGGTGGAAATAACGATTTTTCCCGAAGGAAACACCCGGTCCCCGGTTACGTGGAGCAGCCAAAAAAAGAAGTAGGAACCGTTTGAGGGTTGGGGAACCGCTCCACACCGCGGGCGGGCCGGGGAACCGGGGCCTTCCCGGAGGGCGGGGGGGAGGGGGGAGCACGGA